TTGAGAAGATATTCCTTTTTTCTCCTAAAAATAGCTATCAGTGTTGTTTACTTTGTCGATGTCTATTGTCTGGCAGATTATGTCCTCTCTCTTCTTTTTTTGTTTTTCCTTTTCCCATGCTATCAGTTAGCCATTTCAGGGAAACAATATTTTTCTTTGTTGTTCTCATGAGCAAATTTTTTCACTGTCAGGACTTCCAAAGCGCACGGGCAAGTTGTGTTTTGATGAGAGAGTATTTCTGCAGTCACTTTACCAGGTACAGTTGTCATGGTACTTTAATGTTAAAGTCAAAATTCCTTATCCCCAATGATTTCATGTCCCTGAACTTGATTGCTTGAAGCCTTTTTGCTAACAATGACAACCGACAAGCTCCTATATTTCTTAGGGTTATTGACAGAAACACTATCATTTTTGTTTATAGGTTTTGGTTTCGGTATCAGAAACCACTCCTATCATTCTGTACCTCAGAGATGCGGAGAAGCTTCTCCTCCAGTCAGAACGGTTGCGAAAGTTGTTCCATAAGATGGTGCAGAAACTGTCGGGAGCAGTTCTTATACTTGGTTCTCGTAAGCTGGACACAGATGATGACTATAGAGCAGTTGATGAGAGGCTCAGTCTTTTGTTCCCTTACAACATTGAAATCCGGCCACCTGAAGATGAGACTAATCTTGTCAGCTGGAAAGCTCAATTGGAAGAGGATATGAAGATGCTTCAGGTCCAGGATAACAGGAACCACATTGCCGAGGTTCTAGCAGAAAATGATATCATCTGCGATGATCTGGGATCAATCTGCCATTCAGACACGATGGTTCTAGGCAATTATATTGAAGAAATTGTGGTCTCTGCCTTATCGTACCATCTTATGAATAACAAGGAACCAGAATACCGCAATGGGAAGCTTGTCATATCTTCCAAGAGGTCTCTATCCTCTTTGATTATTTTTAGGAGCGATCACCTAACCCTCTCTGTCTTGATGTTTGTTGCAATTTTGTTACCACATCTTCCCTTTTTCCAGGAGAAAGATTGAGAAGTTTAACATTCTTGTTTTTTTGCAGTTTGTCCCATGGGTTAAATATATTTGAGGAGGGCAAAAGTGGTGACAAAGACACTCTAAAGCGAGAGCAAAATTCTGAATCTTCAAAGGTTGGCCTAACTTTTGGTTTTACAAATTCCGAAACTGGGCAAAGAAAACCCAATCCTTACACGTACAGGTTTATTTAATCATATTACCTTTTTTTTTCAGGAAAATGAAGGAGAAGAAGCAATCGGTGCAAAAACTGGTTCAAAGGCTGATAATCCTGAAATCAAGGGTGAGACAGAAAAGTCAGCTTCTGCAGCAAAGAAGGACGTAGATAATCCCCTTCCATCAAAAGCACCGGTGAGTCTGAATTACAGAGATAATATTAAAATGAGGACGATATGGTTGGAGTTAGGTCTTAGATTTGATCTGCTTAGAGCATTCCATCATGAGAATGAGAGCATTCACGAAAATAAGGACTACCAAGCTATTTCAAGTTTCAGCAGTTATTGGCTAAGTAGCTATTTGTCATAAAGTATAAAAGAGTAATTGGTTCTTTAATTCTACCTGGGAAGTAGCCCCTTTTTCAGCTTTACTTTGCCTCATACGATAAGAAATATGGCATGCTCATGGCCTTGTTTCAAAGTGTTGAGTATTTCTTTACCTCAATGCATTAAAGTACTAAACCATTGAGTTATCTCACTATGTGCTTGAAGTGGGGCAATTAATGTGCACCACTGGCATTTACCTTCTCTATGTGTCGACATATATAAGTAACCAAGAGAAAATTACAATCTTTGAACAGGAAGTTCTCCCTGATAATGAATTTGAGAAGCGGATAAGGCCCGAGGTTATTCCAGCGAATGAGATTGGAGTAACATTCTCAGACATTGGTGCTATGGATGAGATTAAGGAATCACTTCAAGAGTTGGTGATGCTCCCACTCCGAAGACCAGACCTCTTCAAAGGTGGGCTTCTGAAGCCTTGCAGAGGTATACTGCTTTTTGGACCCCCTGGTACTGGCAAGACGATGCTGGCAAAGGCCATTGCAAATGAAGCTGGAGCAAGTTTTATTAATGTCTCCATGTCCACCATTACTTCGAAATGGTTCGGGGAAGATGAGAAGAATGTACGAGCACTTTTTACGCTGGCAGCGAAGGTTTCTCCCACCATCATCTTTGTGGACGAGGTGGATAGCATGCTTGGGCAAAGGACTCGAGTTGGAGAGCATGAAGCCATGCGGAAGATTAAAAATGAATTCATGACGCATTGGGATGGGCTTTTGACAAAATCTGGCGAACGTATTTTGGTCCTTGCAGCAACCAATAGGCCTTTCGACCTTGATGAAGCTATTATCAGGCGGTTTGAGCGCAGGTATGTTGCATTGTGTATAAAATCATGTCCGTGCGCTTTCTCAGTCTGGATAAAATTTGTGGGTCAATATTGCTGAAATTCACAATCGCGAGGTCAACTTGTTCATCATTTGAGCAGGATTATGGTTGGTCTACCATCTATCGAGAGCAGGGAACTGATCTTGAAGACTCTTCTGGCAAAGGAGATAGTGGCCGATCTGGATTATAAAGAGCTTGCAGCTATGACAGAAGGATACAGTGGAAGCGATCTTAAGGTTTGTCTATAATTATTAGTACAGGAATGAATAATGAGTTTGATCCCCTCAATTATTGGTTCTGACCACTGATTACACCCTGCCATTGATTGCTGGAAACAGAATTTGTGCGTGACTGCAGCGTATCGTCCTGTTAGAGATCTGATTCAGCAGGAAAGACAAAAAAATCTGGTAAATTATCCTTGTAGTTTATCTTTGGTTGGTCATGCTTTATTTTGTCTTTTGTTCTTGCAGTGACTGTGACAATGTCTCCTGAAATATTGTTGAAAATATGCCCACAGGAAAGAAAGCGAAGAGCTGAAGAAGGTGAGAGCTCGGAAGAAGCCTCCAACACAAAGGAAGAAAAGGAAGAGAATAAGGACGAGGAAGTAATTGCCTTAAGGCCCTTGAAGATGGAAGACTTGAGGCAAGCAAAGAATCAGGTAATCGAATCTCTTTTTCCCATCTTCTAAGCTCCTGCTAAGCTGTAAGACCGGTTTTCTTTCCTTAAACTTCTCTTGCAACAGTCATTGGGTAACTGTGGCATGAGCGTGAAGTAAATTACATCCAATACATAACATTATCTATTTCGGAAATGCAAATGCAGGTCGCTGCAAGCTTCGCTTCTGAAGGATCCGTGATGGCTGAACTTAAGCAGTGGAATGATCTGTACGGCGAAGGAGGTTCTCGAAAGAAGCAGCAGCTGACATACTTCCTTTAAAAGGGCAATAAGTGGAGGCACCTTTAGGCATTCATGAGCAAGGTTATGGTCTTGTAGATACAAACAACCAGTCCGAGTTCGAGTCAAAAGTGACCTGATCCTGGGAGGAACCAGTTGGCAGTTAGTGCAAGCTATCGCTTCTGATTCTCATTGGAGGAATCCTGACGATACCACATGGCTTATACAAGAATGTTATCATAGTCAGTCGTGAAAATGCGTTTTCCGGGCTATGTATAGAATGATTTTTAACGGGATCCTCAGCTCGTCTCTGGCGAATCAGCTTGTCATTTGCAACTCTACTTGTTGGCCTTAGGAGATGTAGGTCGTCCTGTGTAAGTAATGGGGCTTGTCGGCTGCGAAAACAGTGTGGTGCTTGGGAATGCATTTATGGGGTATGTTTGCTAGGGAATTATAAGTTTGTTAGCAGCTTGTGATTGAACAGCTCATAGAACAGTATTTGTAGTTGTAGATTGTATAAATCCTTTGAAATTGATAGTAGAAATTTCGGTTGGCTTGATTGAGTTGTTTCATTCTCGAGCTTGTTACATTGATGCTCTAGTCGGTTGTAGCTTACACAGACTGTTATTTCGCAATGTCGCTTCGCTCGGAGATCTAACCAGATGTGTGTAAATGACAAAAGAAGTATCACAAAGCAGCAGTTCCATCGATATTTCTTGTCTAAGCAACAACCACATAGCGAGCAATGAGGAACATTCTGTGATACCATGAAAGTGCCGATGGATGAGGCTAATTTTTACCAATTGTTACCAAACTACTGCAAAATCATGAGATTGTGAGGAAAGGTGGTAAAGTTCAGTCCATGAGTCCCATGTTTTCTTGAGAAGTTACTCTTCTTGTTGATGTTCTTAAGTGGGCATCTGCACTTTGGCTTTGGTCAAGAGAACATCAACGAAAATGACACTATTTTTTTTTTCTGTCACCAAAGAGTTTGTCATGTCTCTGAACTGAAATAGAAGGGGCCGCTAAAGAGGTAGCTTGAAAACATAGCAAATCCCAAAAGGCTTACGGGGATAGACCACCCGTTTTGGTGAAAATTGAATCTTTTATGTTTCAGCAATTTATCTTATGAGTTAGGTGAAGATCTAAAAATTAGACCAATAGATCACGGCACTTGATGATAAAGACTTGATCTTTTTCATAGAGTCTAATCTGTACTCTCCAGAGAAATTTCGGATTTGAACCATTCGAAGTATTCCCGAATATTCTGAATGTCCCTACTCAAAAGTCTTGACTTCTCTCTCATTTTCCTTTTTTCTTCCTTTGCTCAGGAGAACATACAACCGTTTGTATAATTTTTTTTAAAACATGTACATTTATTTATCGCATCTTAAGATATGATGATCGATTTAGATGGACAACAACGTTGTTTTGCCGGCATTTCTCATATCCACGAGCCCTTCCCATTTCGAGATTCAATTTTGTCTTCCCCTCACGTTTGGTGTTTTTGAGTCTCTCGGAACCTTCCAAAGTTAACGAAACCGGACTGAAAGCTGAATCGGGTTACGCGGTTGAACCGGCCTCGACCGAAAACCGGCGAAAGACCGGCGTACTATCGAACCCGGTTCGAATCGACCCGATTAGCAGCGAACCTAATTAAGGCGGCCGTGGCTGGTTCCCGGCTAATCCTCCGAAACCGTCGACGCCTTCCCGTTTCTCGAATCCCGGAGGCGCGACGGCGGAAGAACGATGTCCGGCGCCGGCGAGAGATACCGGAAGCTGGGCTTGAGAGGATCCTTGCCCAGCGCCCACCGGTACCCGATCGCCTGCAAGGAGCTCAGCTTCATCCTCAGAGCCGCTTATCACGAGCTCCCCAAGATCCTCAAGTCCGCCGTCCTTGACGACGCCCTCGCCGCCTTCTGTCTCCTTCCCGAGTAAGTCCCCTCCGTTAGGGCTCTGGTTTGGGCGCCGTTGAATTTGATTCTCGATCGGTTTCGTTGTTTCCGATTTGAGAATCGATTGATCGCTTCGGAGGTTAGGGATGCAGTTCTTCATCGTCGAATCATGGGAACGCGATTTGGTTGTGCGCGTGTGTGTGCGTGGCTTTGTCGTATGCTGTTCGATATCTGAAATGGCCTGTCATTTTATGCGAAGCATGGCGATTTCCGACTGCAGATGTACATCGGATACGGCCATCATGTTAGGGTTTCGGAGTTCACGTACCTGAATTGATGAATACGAAAGTTCATGCAATCAAAATAGAAACTGCCCAAAAAAGCTCTTGTATTATCTCTTCGATTATTGAATTTCATTTAGTTCGATGAACTCACCTGTAGTTCGTAGATGAAGAAGTTAATGGCTTACTCCATGCCTCCCATCTCCGATGTCAAGTCGAGTTATTTATGCAAGAAGCGAGTATTTTGACATTCGCAAAAAAATAAATACTTCCTGTTCATCGAGTTTTGAACGTTTGATTGCTGTGCTGTGATCAATGCCACACTAGAATGAAGACACAGAGTGCTGTTTCATCGGCTACTTTGCTTGCTCAGGCTGCGGATGCTGCTTTGCCGAAGCAGAAGAAAAATATGGCTCTGACGGAATTCAAGCATGCAAAAATTGCTCATAAGAAGCAATGCAAAACACGCCGGGAAGAAAAAGGTCATTTTTCATCTTTGTTATGTATATTCTCTAATCCTTTTACACGGAAAATGACCATTCGTTAATTTCTCTCTGTTTCAGAATCTTCCCAGCTACCACAAGATGTTCTGCTGCATATCTTCAGTTTCCTAGATTTTCCATCTCTAATTGCTGCCATGCTTGTCTGCTGGTAAGGTTCTGTTCTGTTCTGTTTGCCGATGCTTTTTAAGTACACACTATAGTTGGAAAGTCCATTGCGTGTCTTCTCAGAAAGTATGATTTAGCTTCTTAATCTTCTCTTTGAATTTTTTAATTGAAGGTCATGGAATTACACTGCGAGTGATAACTCTCTCTGGCAGTCTTATTATACAAGAGTTTTTCCTCGTGCTGATAATAGTTTGAAAACCAAGCATCAGCAAAATAGATCAGTGTGCGATGATCAGCAAGATACGCTTATGCCCGCGGAAATTGCTATGCCATATATTGACTGGAGGGAGGCCTTTAAAAGATCATATATAGGTATACCTGTTCTGCTAGCTTATGAAGTTCAAATGCATGTGCATCAGATGCATTTGGTTTTTTTTATTGTGGTGGTGGGTACGATATGTTCGAAATTTTCTGAATGAAAAAGTAACAGTTTGCACACTTCAAGCTGCGCGCGAACTTGATGTGGGAAAATGATTGTCGTTCCTGTATAATATTATCTAATTGCTGCAAATAAAACTCAATGCACAGCTCATGGATTGCATTGCATGCAACGAGTATTTTGAGCTTTGCCAAACCTGATTTGGAAACTTGCTGACCTTTCATGTCCTTCTCACTTTTTCATAATGGTATGTATGCAGCCAATTCAAGGAGGAAAATAATCTTTGACAGAGGATTTTGTAGGCGATGCAAGACTATCGTTTGGCTCAATGGTATCAATTGCTCAAACCATGGGGGAGCTAAATCGAGCAATAATGAAATTAAGCCTGTGTCACCCCAACAGGTAACTCTTCCATAGACATTCTTCTGCATCAAGGTGCTTCTCAATTTTCTGACATATTCCGAGCCTTGTGTCTCCTTTGATGTCTCACTATCCGTAATGTTACTTGTAAAAATATTTGCTCCTCCTTCTTGTGATTGAAGATGCACTATTCTAATTTTGATGATATGTGTGCATAGAATAGCTTGGGTATTCAGTTGCTGTTGTCCTGCACCCTATATCTGTTCCCAAAATAAAAAGAACGTAACGGGCAAAAGAAAATGGGAAAGTTTCTGTCATGGATAAACTATGCTGATGTTTTCCTTAAAACCGAGTTTCTGAAAGAGATTTTGCTCTATCAGCTATATGGGCCTGGTGGGGATGACCTCTAACAATTAGTTAGGAATGTATTTTGCTTCTTTGGCCTTGCTTCCAGAGTCTCTTTACTTTTCGCTCTTACATCTATACTATAGTATGAACTTTGACGACGGAGATGCTAATGGTCATGCGTACGTCTTCTTTCAGGTGGTTGATTATCTGCTCGGCGATTTTCGTTCTTCGGATAGTGATGATGGTGATAGTGATTCAGATGATCAGTCGGTCTCCAGGTTATGGGCCTATCCCAAAGCTACTCCATCCTAGAGGTGTTCTAATCCTCCTCCTCAGGTCCAGTGTGTTACGTATGCTATCAACAAGGATGAAGCTCTCTCTTCATGGCCCATGAAGTTGTGCATCTCTTCATCTAAGAATATGAAAACATTGGTTTTGTAGAAAGGAATGCAATTGGCATCAAAACGGAGCAGTTTTATGCCAAAAGCTTGTCTTCCAAGCTCTGTAAAGAGGGGCAAAAAGGTCATCATTGAGCTATATTGTGAATATAAGAACATTTTACGTCTAGTCAGTAACTTTTTCACTTGACAAAAAAAGTGAATTTGCATATATCGTGGTAACTGGTAACTAGCAACTTGTCCATAATAGATTAATAGCTTTTAATATTAATTAAGTGCAAAAGTGTATCTACAATAAAAAACGTATTCGTAGGACTAATAAAGTTCCGTAACAAGAAATCCGATACATTTACAATTTACTTTTACAAGAAGTCTGCGACTTTTTTTATAACTACGCTATTAATTATCGAATATAACCAGTAGTTAGGCCACTAATTTCATCTGGCATCATAGACCACAGCAAAAACACATGCAGATATCTAGTATCACTTAGTACTGTTGTTCTACATTAGCCGACGTCTTGAAAACAGTTGACACCACCACATTCGATCGACTGATATGCTGCCCTAACCACCATTGGATTGCCGGCCTACAACGCGTTGTCTTGCGATCATCACTGTATCTTATAGGGGAATTATCTTATTCTGTATTATCTAGTTTTATGTGATAGTTGTCAACCATAGTTATCTTATGTACTAACAATATTCCTTCGTAATAGTGATGATGGTGTGTACGCGGGAGAAATAAGTAGCGTCGTTGATGCATGATATTCATTCTTCGTAATTGTTACATGAATTAGAATTTCTCAGCATTCGGATCGAAATCCCAAATTAAAACGTTGAATTCACTCGCGCCTGTGAATCTTTGCAATGCTTCTCGTCAAGCACATCCAACCAATCGCGTAGAAGATTATAAAGTATTTTTTAATTAATTCGAGGTATAAGTACTCGGGAAAAAAACGGGCTTTATTTCTTTTTAAATTATTCCAAACGGGCAATATGTTAGCTTTAGATTAGTTTGAATTGCACTATCACCTTTTATTTTAGTGAACCAAGAATCTTAAGACAAGTAGACGTTAGAAAATATCACATGGAAACAAGCTTATATCTCGAATTATAACTAGGCTATGAAATGATAGATCCCACACTAACTTCAATTAAAAGATCACCTCCTCACTTATCATGTCAAATATTTTTTTTATAGCTTCAACCTATAAAAAAATATTATTTTGGATATATATTTACAAATGATACATCACTTGATAGCAACAACCAAACCCTTCTCTTGGTCGGAGAATTTACGGTAAAGCTAACTCGATTTGTTCATCTTAGCAGCAATCAAATGATGGGAGCCATAAGATAGATTCATAAAAGGGAAAACAAATAGGTAGAAGTGAAAAAGAAACTACTCCAAACATATTTGCTCAGGAGTACGGTCAAACCTCTCAAGACGGGCAAGAAATTATCCACTGCCCGTTGAACTAGGATGGAGATATTCCTTTTCTTTCGGTTGAAGACATTTCTTGAGTACAACATTTCCTCTATCTAATACATACAATTGTTTGTAAACCGGACCGAAAATTGAATCGGGTACACAGTTGAACCGGCCTCAATCAAAAACCGGCAAAAGACCGGCCTAATATCGAATCCAGTTCAATTCGACTTGATTAGCGGCGAACCTATTTAAGGCGGCCATGGCTCGTTCCCGGCAAATCCTCTGAAACCGTTGATATCTTTAATGTCTTGAATCCCAAGAATCTCAAGTCTGTCCGCCTTTCGTCACCTTCCCGAGTAAGTCCTCCATTAGGGCTCTAGTTTGGCATTCGATGATTGATGTCCGCTGTGTTGAATGTGATTCTCGATCGGTTTCATTGTTTCCTATTTGAGAATCGATTGATCACTTCAGAGGTTAGGGATGCATGCAGTTCTTCAGCGTCAAATCATGGGAAAGCAATTTGGTCGTGTGTGGGGGCTCTGTAATATGCTGTTCGATATCCGAAATGGCCCTTTCATTCTATGGGAAGCATGGAGATTTCCGACTGCAGATGAACATTGGATACAACCATTATGTTAGCCTTTCGGAGTTCACGTACCTGAATTGAGGAATAAGAAAGTTCCATGCAATCAAGATAGAAACTGCAGATGAACATCGCTCGCTCACCTCTGCGGACTCCACACTCCCTCTTGCTTGCTCCAAAGAGCCCCCAGCTGTCGCCGCAGCTATGACGGCGGAGGTGGAGGGTGAACTGCATTTTGTGAGAGGAGAACAGTCAAACAAATGCCTGATGGCTAAAGTTTTTTGCAATTAAGATTGTGGAATCACAACTCCAGGAAGATCCAGTGTTACCCATGGTCCCGACGAGTATATGATCCTGTGCTCGACTCCGGTAAAGAAAGAGCTGGGCCTCTCGTAATTGTAAAAGTCGGTTGTTCGGGAACCGGAAGAGTTGCGATTTCGCTATGGAGCATGAAAAGTGCATCTGACATTGTGGGACGATCACTCGGGTCGTCTTGCACACACGAAAGCCCTACCTTAATACACCTCAAAACTTCATCTCTATTGTAAGCTGCGTGCAGCGCTGGATCCATCGAGTCCAATGCTTTGTTGTCATTCCATAATTCCTGTGCCTGCACAAATGAAGTTTCAGTAAGTCCAGAGAAAATGGCCGCGGGAAATGGATAACATAAAAGAAAGGGAGACCAAATGGACTATATATTCACATAAGCGAGAAGGCTCGGTATTCCTTGGGACTGATAAGAGCCCGTGTTACGTTTCCCGCTAACAATCTCCAGTACGACGACACCAAAGCTATAAACATCGAACTTGACCAAGAATACTCCGCTCAAACCATATTCCGGAGACATGTATCCGCTGCATTAGAGCATAATAAGATAATTAAGCCACATTCAGAATATCAAATTTTCACCACAGATATTGGAAGGTGATAATGTGGCGACTGCCTTGTGTACGGTCCAACAGATTCTTTATCCAGACAAAATAAATGGTATGCGCATCTACAAAAACTTACTATGTTCCGACCACCCTTTGCGTGCTTGCGTCAGATTGTTTCGCCTCAAATATCCGTGCGAGGCCAAAGTCGGAAATTTTGGGAGTCATCTCCTCATCAAGTAAAATGTTGCTCGTTTTGAGATCTCTGTGAATGATTTGCAGCCTAGAAAATTCGTGAAGATAGAGCATTCCTCCCGCAATTCCCAAGATAATGTCAAAGCGCATCTTCCAGGTCAGCAACAAACACCTTGTTCAATCTAGCAAGGTTTGAATTTTTATTTATGATGGCAGCGGCAAATATTTTTTAATCTAACTAGACTAACTTAAAATCTTCATAAAGAGAAAGAGACTGTTGAGTGCTACCTCTTAGAGCTATGCACGGAAGCATATAAAGGAATAGGAACATGAAATAAGGTGCTTACCAAATATGAAGGAATCTAAGCTTTTGTTGGGCATGTATTCATATAGTAACATCATTTCATCTCCTTCGACGCAATATCCTACTAATCTGACTAAATTCCGATGCTGAAGTTTCCCGATCAACATGACTTCGTTCTTGAATTCTCTTAGCCCTTGTGCCGAGCCCCTCATCAGTCTCTTCACCGCAACTTCCTCTCCTCCAGGAAAAGTAGCCTGAAACAAACTCAAGAAATAGAGAACTTCATCACCATGACCCAGTCAAGAGCCCCAGATGGTAGAAGAAGAAACCATTTTATTTACCTTGTATACAAGCCCGAACCCGCCTCTTCCAAGTTCGTTCTCCTCAGAGAAGTTATTCGTGGCTAGTTGAATAGTTTCAAAATTAAAATACGGCACGTCGATGTCTTTCTTGTCATCCTCCTCGACCAGGGGTGACTCCATCCGCCATTTCATTCGTTCCCCCATGTCCTGTAGATGCAATTGAGGAATTTCGGCTCTTCCCTTGTTGCCTGAAGTGCCAGCTCCAATTACAAATTGTTTGCTGTCTTATTATCGTATTTCTAATCATGACAGATAAAAAATATGGATGTGATTAGTCGTTACCTTGCGCAATACCAAGCCACCTTCTCATGTAAAATAAGGCACCCACAAGGAGGAGGAAAATTGCGACACCGGTAGGAGCAACTATATATACAAGTTTATTTTCTTTCTGCTTGGATCCTCCACCTACTACCGCTACATAAGAGAAGAAAATGTAAGTAATGTACTTTGGACAAGAGTTAAAACGAATATTTGTAGACACAGTCACTCGTTAATTTGATAGAAGGACAGGCGATGACTTCATAGTGCATGGTCACGATCCCTCTTATAGTCATAGGAAAAAGAGTAACAGGTTCAGTTGGCGCAAGTCCACGACTCTCATTTCATTGCATGCATACACCTTACTTAGGATGGTAACTGTAAAGGCAAATGCTATTGAAACTTTGACAGGGGGGTCATATCTCGGCAATCTTGGGCCAAAGACAAACTATAGCTACATCTATTCTGGTTTCGAGCTCTTCTCGCTGACCTATTACAAATTCCAAATGCACGCTGAAATTATAGATGCTGACTATATGGAATTTTTCAGTTTGCTTCCAGGAGGAGCTAATCATCCTAGTAGTACTTTGAATGATAAACCATGGAGATAGAAAATAATGATTTGGGGGCACGACATAATCTTCCACGTCGACTGGTAAAACCTAATGGTTACATTTCCTTCTAATTCGTTATTCATGTATGCAGCAGCTACAATTGCAGGTCAATTTACAAGATCAGCATTCTCACCCGAAGAGCAATTGAAGCTTGAAGAATTCCAACTAAATCCCAAGTTGCAGAGGCACCTTGTCATTCCATCCGGTGCTCTCTTGCAAGTTGTATGTGGCCAAATGCAGTCTTTGGGAAAACTGCAGATTGGCTCCTTTGGCTTCCGCCACACGATTTTCACTTCACTCAACCGCGTACTTCCCAAAGAGTCATTCTTTCCTCCACTACACCCGCTACTCACCTGAAATGGCGAGGATTGGTTAAGCTGCAGAATGACATCCACCAGATTGCAGTTGAGTGCATTGTTGACCTTGACGGTAAGGTAGCGAATGATAACCATTCTGTTTCAGAATGAGTTCCTGAAACAGAAATAGATTTTTCTATTTCTGGTTCCAGGATAAGTTTCTAAGAAAAGAAATCCGTTTGATAACGACA